CTAGTCTTTAATAGAGTGGTTTTCTTTTTCCTTTTTTGCTCAATTGCTTTATTTCTTTATGGTTAAGTACTTATCTGCACTGATCCTTTTCTTATTTTTATTTTTTAATGTATATGGTGTGAGATTTGGGTCTATCTCATCCTATAGGTGAACATTGAATTTTCTAAGCCCCATTTATTGAAGAGACTGTTCTTTGTCCACTGTGGATTCTTGGCAACTTTGTCAAACATCAGTTAGCTACAGAAATCCAGGTCAACTTCTTTATTCCCTTCCCTGTTTCATTGGCCTATATGTTTATTTTTATGTCAGTGCCATTCTGTTTTAGTTAATAAAACTTTGTAGCATAATTCGAGGTCAGGTATTATAATGCTTCCTGTTTTGCTCATTTTACTCAAGATTGATTTGACTATTTGGGGTCTTTTGTGGTTTGATGGAAATTTTGAGATTTTCTTTTCTATTTTTGGAAGAATGTCAGTGTTATTTTCATAGAGATTACTTTTCATCTGTAGATCATTTGGGGCAGTATGGACATTTTATAATATTAACTCTTATAATCTATGAACATAGAATATATTTCCATTTATTTGTGTCCTTTTAAATTTCTTCTATCAATGTTTTGTAGTTTTCAGTGTAGAGATCTTTCATCTCCATGGTAAATTTATTTCTAAGTATTTTTGGTAGCTATTTTGAATGATATTTTCCTTTTAATTTCTTTTCCAGTATATAGAAATTCTATATTTAACTTGTATCCTAAAACCTACTAAATGATTTTTGTTAATCCTAGCAATATTTTAGTGGAGTCCTCAGAATTTTTTGTATTTAAGAACATCTCATCTGCAAATAGGGACAATTTAATTTTACTTTCCTGTTTGGATGTCTTTGTCTTTTATGATCTTTAATTTGAAATCTATGTTATGGTGTAAGAGTGACTATTTTTGCTCTCTTTTGGGTTTCTTTTCCATAAAATATATATTTTTTCACTTATTCATTTCAGTCTATGCATGTTCTTATCAATGAAGTTAGTCTCTTATAAACATTTTAGTTGAGCTTTTGAATATCTATTTAGCCTTTCTAGAATATTTCAATTATAAGTCTAATTTAAACTGTTTATATTTAAGGTGATTATTGATTGAAAATGAATTATTATTACCATTTTTAATTGTTTCCTGTCACTTTATGGATTTTTTTTTCCTTTTTTTGCTCTATTGCTATCTTTCTTTATGGTTAAATACTTATCTGTAGTAATGTGTTTTGACTCCTTGCTTTGTGAATTTTTTATGTGTGTATCTGTTAGAAACTTTTTTTATTGATGGATACCATAGGCTTATAACATATCTTAGAGACATAAAAGATTATTTTAAGATAATAGATACTCAACTTTGATGGTAACAAACAAAAATGAAAGACTCTACCTTTTAACCCCACTTCCTCACAAAACTGATATGTTGATGTTTTAATTTGCACCTTCTTATATTATATATCTTTTAAAATTATTATTTTAGTAGTTTTATCTCAACTTTCACATTAAGTATATATGATTTACATACCGCTGTTACAGTACTCGAGTATGTTGAATTGGATTATGTACTTTTACCAATAAAATTCATATGTTCAAGCATCTTTGTGTTGCTCTGTAGCATCCTTGTTTTTTAGTTTGAGGAATTCCATTTAGCATCTCTTATAAGAAAGGGCTGGTGGCGTGAAGTCCTTCAGCCTTCATTTGTCTGTTGTCATTTATGGAGGAAAGCTTTGTTGGGTAAGGTATTTTTGTTTTTTTATTCTTTTATTTTTTTATTATTGTTTTTAAAATTATTATTTTTTTAATTCCTTATCATTTGATTGCGTCCTGGCTTGTAGATTTCTGCTGAAAAATTCATTCATAATCATATTGGTACTATGTTATATGTGATTTTTTAAAAAAATCTCTTACTGCTTTCAGAATTTTTCTTTGTTTTTTTTTTTTATAGTTTGATTATTCTAAATGTGAGTACATTCCCCTTTTTGACTTTATTAAAAACCTCTATTTCCTGTACTTGGGTGGTGTTCTGTTACCCAAAACTAGGGAAGTTTTCAGCCATTAGTTCTTCACAATAGCTTATGGCTCTTTTTTCTCTCTCTTCTCTTTGACTCCTACTAGTCAAAGGTTTGATCTTTTGATGCTATCCTACAAGTCTCATAAACTGTTGTCCTTAGTTTTTATTCTTTTGCCCCCCCCCCCCCCCCCCTGGCAACATCAATTGATCCATCTTATAGCTCATTGATTCTTTGCTTTCCTTTATTGATTATCCTGTTGGAGCTTAAGATCTTAACACTACTTAAGATCTGCAATTGAGCAGGTCTGTGGATTGGTTTTCTAGGTCAGGTGGAATCATTGTTTTGGACAGGCAGGATATTAGAGTCTTTGGAAATGTGTCTCTGAGGATTTCCTCCTTGTCTGAATAATACTGTTGGGTGGGCTTTTGGCTGAGTTCTGTAGCTGTAGCTGTTTGTTTTCCCAGATTAAGCAGGATTAACTGCCACTTTTACCTAAAAAGCACAGAGGAGTTCCAGAGTTCCTGCTTGGAATGGGATAATTGGATGGTCTATTAGGCTATGTGGAGTCCCTTCTTCCTAGAAACACTAAATGAATGCTTCCTGTTCTCCTTTTCCCTTGTAAGAAATATGGGCCCAGAGTTGGACATGGTGGCACAGGTTTGTAATCCCAGTGGCTCAGGAGGCTGAGGTAAGAGGATCAAGAGTTCAGCTTTGCTGAGCCAGCCTCAGCAAAAGAGAGATACTAAGCAATTCAGTGAGACCCTGGTTCAGTGGTTGAGTGCCCCTAAGTTCAATCCTTGGTACTCATCTCTGGATATTTGTTAGTTGAACTTTATGTGGCAGGAAGTAGACCACAAATCCCCTTTCTTTACCATTTTGCTCACATCATATAGTTTTTCATAGTGATATTTATTTTCTGTGTATGTGAGTTGTATTTGCTCAATTTTGTTTTAGATGTTTCTCTAAATAGATGTTACAATTATTTTTCACATATTTTACATTAAAAAATTACATGATAAATATGAGAGTTTTAATATACTTATGTTGTTAACTCAAGAATAAATAACCAAATTTATTAAATTAGGTTAGTAAATACTATTTTGGTGCTAAGACCATAAAAGATTAAGAATAAAATCTAAAATTATTCTACAGAAAAATAGTATAAGTTTAAAGTGGCATGTCCTCCTCCAAATGAAAGACCACATAACTTTCTAGAAAGTAATTTGAAATTTGTGTATTTCTTTTATCATCATCTTCTATACTAGCAGTATGGTTGAAATACAGTTTCTTTGGTAAAGGTAGTATGTTTGTCATGTTTCCATAACTATAACAATACACATAAGGTAATCAACTTGAATGCAGTAAAATTTATTTTGTCTCAAAGTTTTAGATATTTCAGTCTATGATTTGTTGACCTGTGGCACTAAAGCGGAGAGCAGGGGATGCACCCACTGACTATCCTCTCACTAGACTCCATCTCTTATATGTTCTGTCATCTCCCAATAGTGCCATAAGCTGGGGACAAGGCCTTTAACACATGGACATTTGAGGAACACTTAAGATCTATATTATAGAAGGTAGTAATCTATATCTACTTTATTCAATGCAGTAATCATTAGCCATAAATAATTATCATTGAACATTTGTAATGTGGTAAAGATGACTGCGAAACTAAGTATTAAATGTGTTTAATTTGAATTTTAATAGCCACATGTGACTAGTGCTACTATGTTGTTCTGAAAATATCTATGGGTTGCTATAATATTACTCCTACATTAGTTTTCAGTACTGTTATGGTATTTTGTATATTTAATGCAGTTATTAATTCACTAATTATCAGCCATAATTTGTTATTTGGCAAATTAATGACAGTAATATAGGCATCATAATTATCAATGATATAGCTATTATTACATATAATAGTTAAAAGAAAATAGACACATATAAATGGATATTCAAATACTGGTGACATGGAATAATGTCCTCACCAGAGTTTTAACAAATTTGAACAAATTGCCCAATAGTATGAATTATACAATTCCATTTCTGTAAATAATAAGCAACTGTGTACAGATGTAGTTATGTTATAGTTTTTCTATATAGTTTTCTATATATTGAAAAACAATGTATAAACAGATAATATTTAGCTGTATTTGTTGATGGGACACTTAGAATAGAAGATAACAAGATCCACTTTGGTCCCCTATAATTTCAACCTTCTTGTATCTATGCTGATGTTTAATACTTTCTCAAGTGTGGGTCAGATTTGTGACTTTCTTCTAATGAATGGAATATGGCAAAGATGACAAGGTATATGTGTCTTTTTCTTTGTAGTAGTGTGTAAAAATTCCTGTCTAATTTGTTCAGTTATAGCACCTGAACATACTACATGGGAGTGTATATAGTAAGTTCTTGATATAAATAAATAATTTTTGACTTAATAAAATCTGTAACAGTATTGAACTTTAGCCCTAAGAGGAAACCCTTTACCTGGTTGGCTTTGATGAAGCAATCTGCCATATTATAAACTGCCATTTGCAGGGGGTCACATGTCAAAACACTGATGTTACCATCCAGCAAAAGCCAGCAAGGCAGGCATCTTGTGTTGTAGAAGAAACTTCAAGATGGTAAAACTCATGTGTGTCTAGAAGTGGATCAAAAAATGGAAAAAGAGTAAATGAGTCTAAAAATGTATGCTGTGATATAGTCAAGTATTTTTCATTCATCAGTTGACATAAAATTGAAAGGCTCCCAATTGAGATTTTTCTTTAGGAATATTAATGATGAAAGAAGGATAATGTTGAATGTACCAAGAAAGGGGAGACACCACTATCTCCCGAAAAATAACAGTAAAGTAAGTCACTAAATATTTGAATTGGAAGATTGAGTAAGAAAGGAAAACCAAGGATGATGCAAAATGAGACCTGCTATTATATGTCTGAGTCAATTTCCAAAACTAATTTACAGCTAAGACTAGAATCAAATCCTGACATAGTACTTGTCCTTTTGTACTGGAGTCCTCAGACAAAATTAGCTGGCCTTGATTCACTGGTAGGGGCAATCACAAGTCATAAATTGCCCAGGTCAAAAACATGAAAGATGTGGATTGTCAGGTAACTTTCCTCACACACATCAGGAAGTTGATAACTATTATTATGTATTATAAACTCTCTTTTCTTCTAGGGCTCATACAAAGATCAAAGGAATAGTAAGTTGTGAAGGTTGCCTGTCATCATAAAACATCAATTATTCACCTGAGGGCTGAAAATATTAAGGGTGTAGGTGTAGGCAAAGGGACTGTGTCCTAGCTGCTTGATTCTGCATAGAGGGAGTTTCTTGAAATGTTAACAAAGATTTAAACAAAACAAAACAAACAAAAACCAACATTCTAAAAGCTCCCAGTGAAGCTCTTCTACATTAAAGATGTGCTGATGTTGTAAAACAAAAATAAAGAGTTTATTCAAAGACAGAGAATGATATATAATTAAATGGAAAACAACCATGTACATGTATATGAGGCTTATTATCACAAACATGACAATTTTCCTAAATTAATTAGGAAATAAATTCCTATTTTATTTAAAATTTTGAAATTTTAAATAAAAAATTTAAATAAGATTCCTAAATTAGAGTGATTGCATAGTTACTCTAATTCTTAGAATATTAATAAAGTATTTAGAGGAATCTCTGGAGAATAACTAGAATGAAAACAACAGCAACAAAAAATCCATAAATAGGTTAGTCACCTCTTAAAGACCCCTAACTTGTCCAACATTCTCCCTCATCTTAGTGCTTCACAATGGGAATTAATTCCAATATGAATTTTGGTTGGGACATTCAAACCATAGCAATACCTTTTGGGGGATCTGAAAGAAAGAGGGAGAATTGTGCCCACTTAGTCACACATTTCAAAACAGAGGACTTGCAGAGGAGGTGATTCCAAACTTTCTCTGAACTCATGATCACTTTGCATTCCTGGTTCTCTAGCTAAAGTCTGAGTGGAGAGAACATTCATAAAGAAAGAACAATGTGAAAGTTTCACGTAAGACTCCCTGCATGAAACCGCCCCAGAGCTTGATATGTGACCTCTGCTGTTGGGAGAGGAACCCCATGTACAGGTGCATGCCAAGATTCCCAGGAAGCTAATGGTAAAGGTCTGGGACTGGAGTCGTCTCCCTGGAGGAGATGCATGTGCCAGGAATAGCCCAGGCTCCTGGAGGCTGTGATATTGAAGATATGCAACTTTCTCAGAAGCCAGTTTGAGTTACTTAGAGCCAGTCTAAGAAGAGGTGGCTTGGTGAGTGTTTACCTGTGTTGAAGTGCAGCTAGGGGTCAGGGAAGGGACCAAATCCCCCCATAAAACATCTGCCCCAGAGAGAGGAACCTGACTCCAGATAGCATCATGGACCTGCCAAACTCCTCCCCACTCCCTGTCCTGCCCCAGCTCCCAACCTATTGCCCCAGTCTTGGAAGATGCCCAGTGAAGGGGAAGAAGCATTAAAGATAAGGCAGGGAGGAGAGGAGTGGGCTATGTTCCCCCAAATCCTTGCAACCTTCCCAGGTGGCACTGGTCTGTGATGGGGTAGGAGAACAGTGTTAGATTCAAATAATGTTTGGATTTCCACTATTTTTCATAGCTGGAAGTTGCAATGACTGAAATCATATTTTTGAGACTAAAAGTGATGCAAGGAAATTTTATTATCTTGAATTAGCCAGAAAAAAAAAAAAAAAAATCTACAGTTGATTTTATCTGAGGCAAGATGAGGAGGAACACCAACGTTAGTAAGCAGGTTTAAAAAGAAAAAAAGGAAGTAGGAAACAAAGAATTAAGCTGTTTTTCCTGTTTTTCTATTAAACCCAACAATCAGAATATCATATTGCTCAATAAAATGGCTATTCCAGCAATAGGATAAATCCTGGCTAATATAGGCAGAAAGGAATTGATTGACAGGATACTGGGTGGCTTAGAGAGTCAGTGGCTGAGCTGCAAACACAGCTTCAGCAATGGAGAGGCAACCAAGGGAGCATGGTCCAGAGCAGGCTGCAGAACCAGAGAGGATGCTACCACCTCCCTGGACCCAGGGATTCTAGGTGTTGCTGTTGCTCAGCATACATTCTTCATTCCCAAGGTTCCTAGGGGGAAGTAACTGATTGGCTGAGCCTAGTCACATGGCTAGCTCCAGCTGCAAGGGGTGCTGACCAAGAGCACCTGTCTCTAGAAATGATTGCAGTGGGTGGCCATTGCCTCCTATCAAATCTCTTACAGTGGGGAGACCCTGAACTTAACAAAGTCATCCATGTGCTGGTGGTGGCAGGGGAGAGGAGGCAAAAATTAATATCCTTGGAAGGGCTATTCTTTAATTGACTGAGTTTAAGACTGAAGTTTGGCCAGAAATGAAAGTAATTATATTTACTGCCACCACATGAAATGGGAACTTGGAAAACAGAGTTACACAGAGTAGAACAGTGTACAAAAATAAGCATACTTTTTTGAACATATAGAAAAAGAAGAATTAGAATGAATTTAACCAAAACAATTTTAAAACAACAAGATGGAGCCTGGTATGGTAGCATTTGCCTGAAATCCCAGAGGTTTGGGGGGCTGAGGCAGGAGAATCACATGTTCAAAGCCAGCCTCAGCAATTTAGCAAGCCCTAAACAACTTAGCCAGACCCTGTCTCTAAATAAAATATTAAAGAGGGCTGGGGATGTGACTCAGTGGTTAAGTGTTCTGGGTTCAATCCTTAGTACCAACAAGATGGATAAGTGAATTATAACAGCTACCAGGATATATTATGTAGTTATACTAATTTAATAAACAATATTAATAAAGGAATATATAAATTAATTACTGAAACACAGTGAAGAGTCTATAAATAGGTTAATTTGCAGCAAGTTGTTATACAACAGACAGAACTTGAAATTTAGTTCAAAAATGATAAACACAAATGATTATGATATAACTAGTTTCTATATAAAAATGATAATAATAAATTAATCTCAATGTTGCTGAAATAAAATCCAAGGGTATTGTATAACTAAATGTGAAAATAAAATGTGAACAACATACAAAGACTTTGTGCACTTGTAGTAAGAAAGAGAAATGGGAGTGAAATCATAAAAGGAGGTAGTAAGAAAGAGAAATAGAAGGGAAATCATAAAAGGAGTAGGCAGATAAATTTAAATACATGCCAAAATTAAAATATTATGTGCATTATAATAAGTAAAACTATATTTTATCAGGTGTAATCAAAAAACATTAATGTCCATAAAATATTATAATAAATGTAAAACAATCTAAAAAGTATATGACTAATAATGAGGCTAGACAAAGGTTAATTATAATTAGCATTATTTTATTAATATTTAAAGAGCTTCATAAATACCATATAAATATAAACAAAAACCATCCATTTTCCACAAAATTGAAAAAGAACATAAATAGCAATTGGAAGAAAAAAAGCAGAAATACTAATTAATATGTTCCAGACTTACTAATGCTAACCAAGAATATAGAAACATCATTTACTTCCAGTACAATAGCAAAAATAAAAAAAATCTTAGTAACAAATGTTTGAAATGATAAGGGGCAGTGGTGGTTTTGTTAAGTACTGGGATTGAAAATCAGTACAACCACTTTCTGAAGCTATATAGTAAAAGCTTCACAAAAATTAAAATATACATATTCTATAAACTAATAATTCCATGACTGGTAGATATCATATGTAACTTTTGTGAATATGTACAATGTGACATTTACAAGAATATTTCCTACGTTTTTGAATATTTAAAAAATTAAAATTTCCAGGCATGGTGGCGCTTGCCTGTAATCCCAGTGGCTTGGGAGGCTGAGGTAAGAGGATCACTAGTTCAAAGCCAGATTCAGCAAAAACAAGACACTAAGCAGCTCAGTGAGACCCTGTCTCTAAATAAAATATAAAATATGGCTGGGGATGTGGCTCAGTGGTCCAAGTGCCCTTGAGTTCAATCTTCAGCACCCCCACAAAATTTAAAGTTAACAAATATTCTCTAAAATGAAAATTGATGAAATGTTGTTTGTTAATGGCATCATAATTAACAAACTAGAAATGTAGGTATCAGCATAAATAAATATAAATAGCAAAATTTATAGACCACATGAAAGAAGATATGTATAACATTTAATAAAAAATTAAAAACATGTTAACACTTGTTATATATTTTGTGGATAATGCTAAACATAAATGTTGAACATCAAATGCATAAAAGTACTTACAACTGATATAGAAGTTTAGGCATAAGATTAGAATACACAAAAATTCCTCAACTTTTAAAGATATAATTTAGATAAAGTGCAAAAACGACTCTGACTCTTAGGCAGGGCAGACATTAAGATCTGCCAACCTTCTGAGAAGATTCATGGATATCTATCATTCTCTAATGTATAATCTATGCTGAAACTTTTTTGTAGCCACATAATTACAGCAAATTCTTGACAATTTTTAGCTTTGTTGTAAGGTTAAACAAGTTCAAAGAAGATTGGGAGACTAGGACAGTATGCTATCGTCATAGACATAAAGAGGGCTTCAGATGCAAGAAGGCGTTTTGGAAATAATGAATTCTGTTTGGCAGGATGGAATTTTAGGCATTTTAGATACCCTTAGTGATCTATGCCAGGTGTTGAATATAGAGACAGATGATATTGAGATAGAGTTCTGGAAATTATCCATGCAATCATATATGATTAATGTTTGAAGGAGAGTAATTGAAAGAAAGGCAAAAATCCTCTGAATTTTTTTTTTTAATATTTGACAATTCCAAATTTCCAAAAATTTATACCATAGAGACAGGGATAAATAAGAAAGATATCATTCAGGTAGCAAAAGAATGAGGTGACTTGATGGAATTGGGAAGAGCTTGGATGAGGGGAAGTCAAGGGAGAAAAAGAATTCAAGAATATAAAAAAGATTACATGCCTGACGAATACTACTTTCTGCAGTAAATTTAATTTGTGAGACTCCTAACTATTCTGTGTTTCATAAATTAAGGCAATAAATAAAGCTTTGAAATCCAAGTAGGTAGGGACAGCTTTATACCAATGCACTGTGAAGAAAGGT